AGGGGGTCAGGCTAGATGATCTGTTCAGGTCCCTCCTGACCCTAGCTACTATGAAACTATGAAACTATGACGGCTCCCAGCCACAGGTCACCCACCCTCTGGGACTCCCAAAGCATGAGTGCAAGCAATTCCCCAACACTAGCCCACTGCAAGCCATGCTGGGCGGGCTGCTCAGTTTCACCCCAAGTTCCCAATCAGTGACATTTTGAAATAGTTCAATTGTTATGTGTGTCTAGCCTCTATCAATGCAGAGGGTGGAAACAGGATGTTAAAGAAAGGTGCTCTTTAATTACAAGGCAAACAAACCTGTGTGCTAAGACACTAAGATGGTTATTTAAAATAGGCAGTTACCTATAGGAGGTAGCCATTATAGAGCAAATTACACTGCATAGTAAATGCAAAAGCTCTCACCACAGACTTCAAATTACAATGTTTTCAATGGCTTTTAATTAAAAGTATTAGAATGCTGCTACCTGAGCATGACCAATCTCTGTATCATTATTTAGATTCAAATTAGTCATTTTTATCAAATCCACCCAATCTGCAGGTCTGAGGCCACTTTTTTCTGTCACCAAAAGACTCCAAAAGCAGAATGTAATAGATAATTTATATATATATATATATATATATATATATACACACACACACACACATACATACACACACACACACACACACACACACATATATATATATATATATAATTTAACACTATGGCATCCAACAGAACACTTTAATCTATTCTGCCAAGAAATTAAAGTCAAATTAAACTTAGCCCACCTCCCCACCATCACAGTGAATTGCCTTCAGTATCACTGCTTCCAAAGGTGCTAAGTCAGCACAGTGGGGAAAAAGAGATGTGTGCCTATTAAAGACTGGAGTACCATCAAAACTCAAGTACTAACCCTGAATGGTACAGGTGTCCCTAACGTGCATGGCTACAGCATCTCAATGTTATACCCTTGGAACAGATCATGCCACAGAATATTTCTTAACATCTTGAGTCCAAGGTCAACAGGGAGTTATATGTTCTGTGCCACTGCATCTAGGAAATTGAACTTTCTTCCAATCTACTATAAGACAAAATCTCATCTGCTATTTAATAAACCCATTCACTTAAAATAATAACATTTGGAGTGAATTTTTTGATTTTCCAGTCTCCTGTAGTAACTGCCTTGTTAACCTTTTATACTTTTTTTTTGCTGTTTCAGTTATGCAATTCTTTTGTTTCATTATATATAACTGATTACTCTGCCTGCTTTTTTTCAGGAATTATAGAAGTACCCGTTTATCATTTGGATATAGTGAGGCATTTCAGCAAGACCTGAAAAGCACTGCTTTTTGTTATAATGAGGCAGACAGAGGCATAAAGACATGACATATGCTTAAACACAAAAATATACATTTTCAAAGTGCATTAATTCTGTGAACGAATAGGAAGGTGCATTTATTTTAACCCATAGGTTGTAACAGAAGGTTCCAAACATTCTGTTTCTTTATATTACTGAGACAAAAAAAGCAACCATGAGGCTATAAAAATGTGCCTATACCGATCCTGTTTAACACATGGGTAGTCCCACTGACTACTTGTGTGAGTAAAATTAAGCATGTGTGAAAGCACTGGGGGGAAAACGGGGACTTAATTTGCTTGTTACTATTTCACAGCACAAGTAATAATCAATTCCTAATAAATATAGCTCAGTATTTCATAGTGAGTTTGTTATGACTGGTGAGACTGATTTCAGTGTTTTATAATTATGGCTCCAACTCTCTGAAGACTCTTCAAAGTGAACTCCGGAACCCCAGCTGACTTTAAAAGGAATCTGCAAAAACCATATAGGCATGTTCAATTACAGATCTGGACCTTTGATTTTATGAGAGTTGAGAGTGGAGTTATCCAGGCGCTTGTAAAATATACCAAAAGAAAAAAAGAGAAAGTTTTAAAACCTTTTCAGATCAGGAGACTAGGAAGGATGCAATTTTTATTTTCAAGAAATATATTGTGTTCCAGTTGGCACAAAAATTAAAACCACTGTCATGTATTAATAGGTTAATTACTATAAACCAAGTTCTCTTATACTCAAGATTATTTTTCAAACTCAAATTTTAGCTGTATCTTTATTTCCCTAATTTTCACATAGTTTCATGAGCGCTTTGGTGTAATTTTATTTAAAGGTTGAACTACTGTGGCAAGAGCAGCAACTACTATAATTAGGGTTGCAGAAGTATTTCTATACTAATAACCCTTTTTCAGTACCTTTCAAAACTTTCTAATACTTGCACCTTTTGTGCTGACATTTTCTAAGTTTAATTATCTGCTCAAATTTAAATCATTTTGGAAATATGAAACAAAAATAAATCAGCTATTTTTGGAGCACAAGAAGAGTGAAAGATAAAAGCGCATGACCTATTATAAAAAATACTGCCTTAGTATTGAAAAATGTAGGGCTAGAAATAGTAGTTGACAGGGAAAAGAAATTTATATAAAATAATAATTATGAACATATGAAAATCACATTCTAGGGAAGCAAAATATATTTTGCAGGTAGCTCTTGCTAAGCTTATGAAGTGCGCTAGTAAAGCTGGCCATGCTGTTAGCTATATACTTTGCTTGGCTGCACAGAAAAAGTGAAGGAATGCAGTGAATCACTCCTTTCTTACAAGGTATGGCACTGAATGATACTACTCAGGCCCTGATGCTGTGAAATTAAGAGGACCTTTGCATAAGCACCTGCAGAATTAAGCCCTCAAGCTGCAGGAAAAAAAATACTGTATCATTTGATAAACGGTATTAGATTGCATAATCTTAATTTGCACATAATTAAATTATTATGCATGCACACTTAACTCAATCTTTCCTTACTTGAATATTAAAATGGGAAACTTTAAGCAATTTTTTTCATTAAAAAGTTCTAAACATTCAAACAAGGTCTTCAAGCATTTTTTGTAATACTATGATTTTTTTTTAAAAAAGTAAAACTCCCTCCCTGCTTTTTTGATTAATCAAGGGGCCAAAGGTCTTTACTTCTACTAAATTTAAGACCACTGCTTACTATGCATCTCCTAGTTATATCTCCTGATATAAATGAACTCCAAACCTCTTAAAATTTAAAAGGAAGCAGTCTCTTACATGTATACTTTTAAGATGAGGTCATCTTTTGAGTCTCCTGCCAGTAGATCTGCAATGCTGAGGACTGCACAGCCAAAGGGCCGGCGGTATTGTACATTGCAAGCATTTTTCTTCTCTCCAGCTCCCATTCGGCCTGTCAAATAAAACACAAATATGATACATAATCCACTATACTGTCTCCTCCTAGAGCCACAGGAAAGAGGAGGAGAGCAGCTCAGCTTATAGCTACAGACAGTGCAATAGTTTTGATTAAATAATGGTAAACATACAGTTTTAAAAGCTCGTCCATCTTTTCCTCACTTTAAATCAGAACAGCAGAAGATGTGGGACAAAGTAAATATATGGTGCTTCTGTAAGGTCCAAATCTGAAGGGACATGATTGCTTTCCCCTGACCTTACCTACCAAACAGGTGTTTCATATCCACTGACTGCACTGCACTGGGTAATGCTGTAGCAGATTTAGAGGCAGACAACATTACTGGACACTTACGCTGTAGTTTTTGTAAGCATTTATTTAACTACAGTCACTGGTAATAGTCCTCCTCAGCAACTGATAGGGAGTACTGTCCCTGCCAATGAGAGTTAAGCAAACAGGTACTGCCTCCCCACCATCATAAATTGGCTGCAGGGGCACTTTAACTAAAGCTCATTTGACAAGGTTTAGTTAAAGCATGCCTACGGCCATATTGAAACATGAGGGTGCGTAATACATGTAAAAGTGAAGCAAAACTGGAGCGTTCTAATTAGAACATGGAGCAGACTTAATTAATCAAATCTGCTCCTACGTGTTCTAATTAGAACGTGAATGAGCATGTCTATAGGCAGCCCAAATGTTTTTCTGTATTATTTCCCTTTAATTGAAAAGCAGGAGCCCAACTTTCTGGCTGCATTTGTGGCAAAGAAGCTGGAGGAGCACCTTTGCCTTCACCTCTTTGGCTCAATGGCTGCTAAGCACCTTTATCACGTAGTGTCAATTTCTGAAACAAAAAGCTCCTGTGTGTGTAACTGGTATAGGACAAGGTGTTCCAATAACATTTCCATGCATCAGAGAAGCTAGAAAATAATCTTTTATTTTCCAACGTGCATTGTACAAATCTTATTTTAATCTCAGACATTCCAGTACCTACCCTTGGTTTCTCATAATCCCATATCAGTGCCATTTGTCATTGCATAAAGATATCAAACCATTTTTGGCTTTGCCATGTCTCTTGTTCCTTCTTCTCCATCTTTTTGGAATAATAATAATAAAAAAGAAACCTTACTGTGTTCCCTATTGATTTTTGAAAAGCCACATTGGCCTTTCATGGGGTCTGACAACATAGCTACAAAAAACATAAGCCTATTTAAACTCTGCAGAATCAGAAGCTGTAGGTGCTTTGACTTGATGCAACTCAAACAGCAGATGCAGTGACCAGAATATTAAAACTGGCATAAAAATTCATAGATAACACTTCTGGATTCTTGAACTGATCCAAGTGCAAAGACTTGAAGGTTCTTTCCCTGTCCTTAAAAAACTAGGAAAAAAAAGAATTATTTCAATATTACCCATCCCCAAAATGGACATAAAGAGCTCCTTTGCAATCTGGATTATCAGATTTTAGAAAATGGGGCCATAAAGAATGGCTCTATTCTTTGACCTTCTTTTAAATGTTTATTCTTGCCAACTCAATTGCTTCATTCCAAAATCATCATATTCATCATTTTCTCTCCACATGTTTTCTGATATATTTCCTAGTCTTTTGCCAATTTAAATAAGAGAGAGAATTTGAAGCCCTGGGGATTTCCTACAACCACACAAAAAGGTAAGGAAGAAGTATACATCAAAAATATATGAGTGACTGCTCACTCTGTCTTAAGACTAGTATGTATTTTATTATCTAGGCTCACTGGGCAGCAGATAGTTATTACAACAAAAATAAAGTACTCCTCAGAAATAAAGAAGAAATACAGGTAACATTTATGGCATACACTTTCACTTGTACAGCCATTCTTGACTGACAACACTGCCTATCAACAAGATGACAAAGACCTAGACTAGCAGGTGAACGTAGTTTGATTTACCTCAATATATCCCAGATGATAGTTTATTAAAATTTAGCTTAGATACAGCACACACTCATAACTTCAACCATCCTCAAGCACCATTATCTTTGGAAGAAACCAGATTTCTTTTTACTGTCATAGGTTAAGTTTTTCTTGGAACTTCTTCCATTGACATTTCTTTTTATCTTATACTTAAAAAAGGAGGCTGAATTATTTCACAGAAAGGGTACACATGTTTTATCAAACCTCTTTATACTAATTAGGCCTGCTAAATTTCTAAACAAATTGTTTTGTTGGGACACGAGTGGATTTTTAAGGTTCCTTTTAAGCTCATTCATCATATTTAGACTGTTCACATGCTAAATACCTATGTCTTTTTGATGCTATTAAAAACATGGATGTCAAGGGATTCTAAGTTCAGCTGCTTAGTGTGTTTGAAATATTAGTATAAAATTACCATGGGGAACTTCTAGGCGCATATTATTTATCAATTTGCCCCGCAGAATGTGAACTTATTCTTTTAACTGTTAACTCAGATGCTCAGCTAATGAATGACAAATCACAAAATAAAACTCCAGCACTTATCTATCTTTTATGTACCACCTGCTGTCTTCCAGAGCTACAGTTTCTACTGGCAGGAGGTCATACTTACCTATCCGTATAATGTGAACAGTGATGTAGATGTCCTTCCTAAGCTCACTGCTACTCAAATCCTGCAAAGAACAATAATCTCATTATTTTTAACACAGGATTAAAGCATGGCATTCAACAGCCCTGGCATATGACCCTCTGTGCCAATGACTGTGGTTGGAGCACATTTTTGAATTGCAGGTTTGTTACATTATAGGAATGAACGACACCTAGGACACTTTACATTTGGGCCCAGCAGAGAGTACTGCCAATCACTGTCTGAAAATACTGTGGTTAGACTGCAAATCATTGAAGAAAGGCTGCACTGCACAGCAACGATGTGCAACTGCATTTTTTTTTTTTACTTCTTAAAGCACATGGACTCCTGCTCCCATGCAACACAGGGGTGTGCAAGGGAAGAAGAGCTGGCTGGCTGTGAAGGGAAAGAATGCTGTTTCTGTGCAATGGGAAGCTCTAGAAAGAAGGCAGAATTCCTTCTGTAGCTCCAGAGCTGCACCCTAAAGGCACAACTGAGCCTGGTTTTATGCTTTAAATCCACAACGAGTGTTAAGACAAAAGAAACATAACACACTATTTAGTTACACAATATTAATTTACTCTATCTTCCATTTAAAATATTCAGCATTACTGAAATAAATGAGTACCAAGATCAAGTAGAACTCACCACGAAGAGAGAGCAATGTCTTTCTGGCTTCTCTGGACATTTTGGCAAACCATTCCTATTCAGTCTTAAAAAAAACCTCTCACTGCAAGAAAAACAAATGTGACATGCTAGACAACACTAAGGGAATACAGACCTCATTTGGTTCCTATTTTAAGGTGAAATTTTCTAGCAAGATTAAAGAATGAAACAAAATATTTTTCTTCAGGATCTTGACTATAGTAACAACAAAAAAATTACAGGATATTGATGGTTTGCTAATACATCTACTAACATTATTGAAATTAGAGATGAAATCAAAAGCTTCCTTGGGCTGCATTTTTATAGAACTGTGTTCACTCTGTATTTTTATAAAAGTGAGAAACTATAATATCTATGTACACTGGACATCAAATGAGGAAGCATGTTAGAAACAATTCTAACTATGCAGGTATTGGTCTGAGCACGCAGACTGGAATTATGCCTAACCTATATCCCTCTAACAAATGAATAAAACAGAAAGATGATGCTGAAGCATATTTTCCCCCACTACTTTAATTTCCTTAATTAGAGCCTCTGATCAGGATCGCAGGAGGTCATCTAGTCCAACCCCCTGCTCAAAGCAGGACCATCCCCAACAAGATAAATCCAGCCATAGCATTGTCAAGCTGGGCCTTAAAAACCTCCAAGGACGGAGATTTCATTACCTCTCTAGGTAACATGTGTTCCAGTGCTTCACCACCCTCCACATGAGAAAGTTTTTCCTAATATCCAAACTAATCCTCCCTTGCTGCAACTTGAAATCACTGCTGCTTGTTCTATCATCTGCCACCACTGAGCATTGGCAACGCATAGTGGGTACACACGGGTGGACACACACCCCCCTGAGATCAGCCATGTACCCCTTAGAAGCGCTAGTTGCGAAAATGGAAGTGTCACCGGAAGTGCATTTCCAGTTTCGCCGCTGGCTCAGTGATGGGCCACTGGGGGACTCCCCACCTCCCTTGGTGATCTGGTACACCCCCAAGACTCAGAAGGCACCAGTCACCCATGCCACTGAAAACAAATATTGTTGTGGAAACAGGAATAAAAATAAGTAAAAATTAAATTTAAGCCTACCTGTTCTAATAGCCAGCTAAAAAGAGGTCTATTTTTAGACCCACAAAACAAAGGGCAGAAGGTATTTGTTGCATCACAAAATATTCCTACAGAACTTTTATAGGACTTGGATCAGATCCTTTGGGGGAACGACATGAATGAATGAAATGGGCAGTTCGTGAACATGGAAAGCTTGAGAGTGAGCTTTGGACCAATCAGAATAGCCCAAAGCCTAATCCCATTTCTGAAGGGTGGGAGCATCAAGGTCACAAATGGCAAGATAGGCAGAAACACCAAATTTAGCCAATGCCCCAGCCTTTTTCTCCCTAGCACCAATTAGCCAAGCAACTTAGTTTGGATTCACAAATATAATCAAAGAATCAGTTTATATCAGGAGTGCCCAATTTTTCCAGGCTAAGGACTTAAGAACATAAGAACTGCCATTTACTGGGTCAAACCAGCGGCAGAGAGGACATGCTGAAAGGGAGAATTAACAGGGTACGATCAGGGTTTTTGCCACTGTTCCTCTCTCACTTGCAGCCTCCACAATTTAAGGCAGAGGCGGGTAAAGTCTGGCCCATGGGCCAGATTCGGCCCGTGGCAGAGTCCATTTCCCAGCAGCCCCTGCCCATGTCACTCAGGCCAGTTTCCATGGAGACCCTAGGAGAAGTGGGGCCGTGACAGTGCGGGATCAGGGTTTCCATGGAGACTGGCCCAAGCAGTGCTAGCAGGGCACGTGAGGACCTGCTCCAAGGCAGGGCTTAGGGTTCTGCAGCCATGATAGTGCAAGCCAGGGCAGAGCTGCGATCCGTTGCCTGCAGACGGCAGCCGGAAGTGGATCACAGCTCTGCCCCAGCTGCAGCCCTGGAACAGCTCCCCACCCAGCCACATGCCCTACCAGCAATGCTTGGGCTAGTCTCCATGGAAGACCTGTCTCCATGCTGTAATGGCCTCACCTCTCCTGGGGTCTCCATGGAAACCGGCCACAGGGATGTGGATAACAGCTGCTGGGAAATGGAGTCTGGCCACTGGCTGGAACTGCCATTTTGTCCGCCCCTGATTTAATGTCTAGGAAGTTCTAATTCAGAGACCGTTTCCTTAACTCCCCCTGCTCAATAGCAACTTATGTACTTTTCCTCCAAGAATTTGTCTAATCACTTTTTGAAACTGGCTAAACTGTCAGTTACCATAATATCTGGTGGCAACAAGTTCCACACTTAATTGCATGCTGTGTGGAAAAGAACTTCCTTTTGTTAGTTGTGCTGGCTGCATGCTGGAGGAGGTATGCAGGGTTGCTCTGTGGGCCAGACCTGATGCATAAGATAGGTCCATGAGCCCAATCCAGTGGGGGGTCAACATGTGGGTGCCATCTGGCATGTGGCCAGCTGCACCACAGTGAGCTGAATGAGTGATACAGATTTCCAGGCAGCCAGAGGAAAAAAGCTGTAAGCGACTGGGATAAGTTGCAACAGAGAGGGGTAGGCTGCCCATTAGGTAAAAGAAGAAACCCCTGTGCTTGATTAGGGAGTCACCTTACCAAAAGGGGCAGGGCCCCAGGGTATATAAACTCAGCACCTAGAGCAATGCAGGCAGTCTGGGATAGTGCATTGCAGGGAACAGAGCTCCTTGGAGAGAGGGGCTGCAGGAGATGCCCTGACAGGCACCAAGCCACCCTGAGAAGTGAGATTTCCAAGAGAAGGAGGGGTGGAAAGGTATCTTTTACCCAGCAGGGGAGGTTTTTGTTCAAAAGCTTGTACCTTGTGTTGTGGTTAAGTTTATTACTGAATAACTGGAAGTGGCTATTAAGGGTGGTTGGAGGCCATACAGGGTTGCCAGGGGGCAAGCCAGAGTTGGACCCTGAAAGGGGCAGAGGTGCAAAATAGGGGACAGAGACAAGCAAAAGCAAAAAGTGTGGGTGTGGGGGTGCTAAAGCCAGATCCAGAGAGTAGATTCTGGCAGCCTCAGGCTGAAGACTAGGGCCCGAGCACCGAGAGGTCAACAAGGGCCAGGTGGTGGCTGATGATAAGACTGAGACTGAAGAGTTAGGTCAGTGCAAGTGGGCCCAGGCTCATAAATCCACAGCTAGAGTAACTGGCGGACAAAGGTCAAGAGGACTGAAGTCTGTACATGCCAGGAAGAGCAAATCTGGGGTGACGTCTACAAGGCACAGGCATGAATATAGGGATGGATGGATGCCACCAACACAGCTCATAATGTGCCTGGTGTTCTAGGATACCAATAGGGCCAGACGTGACTGCCCAAGTGGCAAGTTTGCAGCACAATGGATCCGACCTAGGCCACTGGGGCAGCCTCCCAAGCCCTAAGAACAACATCAAGGCACGGTAGGTGAAAAAACAGGGAAGGGTACCCCAAGGGGCTGGAGTGAACAGGAGCAGGACCCACTGGATGGGGCCCACCATACCAGCCCTGTGCCCACTGGATGCACCGTCACATTTCCCAACCCATGGGGAGCCCTGTGAGCTAGATGACATGGCTCTGAGGGTCAGATCTGATTGATTTTTGTACTTAAAAATGGATGATTATATCTTTTCTAGGTCCCCTTCCCCCCACCATCTCTTTACCTATGCCCTCAGCTCCCCAAGTTTTACCAATGTTCCATAACACCCATATCTTTAAAAAAACGTTGAAATATCTATCGAATCATGTTGGATGAGATGCAATAAACTAGTTAACTGCAGCAACACTTTCTACCCACAAAGCCTGGAGACCAAGCATTTACTCAAGATCAGAGTTACTCTTAACTATATGTGGGGAGCTGCTTTGTTTGTCACCCAGTCTGGGCAGTCTGAATCCAAAGGTATCTAGATTTTGTTTTTATTGAAGCTAATAATTGATAACTGCCCGCCCCATTTGTAGCCGTCCAATGTCCTCTTTTGATGCCGGAGCAGGTGAAATCAGAAGCATGGATGAGGCCTACTCTGGGATACTCTACCTAGTTTTGGGCACTCTACTTCAAGAAAGATTGGGACGAATTGCAAAGAGTCCAGAGGAGAGCAGTAAAAATAAGTGAGGTCTAGAGAACATGACATTAGGAAAAGGTCAAAGAACTAGAATGACTTAACCTGGGTAATAGAAGGCTGGGGGAGTATTTGACAGTTCTAAATGCAAAAAACTGTTGTTAAACAGAAAATGGCAGGCAACTACGTGTGTCCACATAGGACAAGCAGTAAAGGACTTAGATTGCAAAAATGGAGATTTTGGGTGGATAGTAGGAAGAATTTTTTTAAACTCCAGCTTAGACAATCATTTGTCTGGGGTGATTTAAATGGATGATCCTCTCTTGACTAGGGGACTGGACTAAATGACTTGCTAAGATCCTTTCCAAGCCTTTTTCCTATGATCTTACGAGAGAAAATGTTTAAACTCTTACAGGCTTCATATATGGAGCGACTGGAAATGCCATTTTCTCAAAAGCACCTGGCTCTTAGGATACAACCATCTTGTGGAGCTTAAGTCTCCATGGTAACTTTAAAACAAGGATTTAAAAATAAATTCACTTACCATTCTTTACAAAGAAAAACTGTTTTTTGTAGTCCATTGATTTAAGAACGATTCTAAGAATTATTCTACCTTTTAATTACAAATGTAGCTCACTTTTAAGTATTGGCAAAATGTACTATTATCACTCCTGTAGTGTATGTACTGCATTTTCAGGCCTTTAATAAACTTCTAGCAAGAATTATTTTTCAGATGTATTACCTCTATTGCCACTGTGCTTAGGAGTCCTAACCATAGATGAGGACTCCTGCTCCAGGAACAGCTACAGAACTAGTCTCTGGTCTGAAACTATCAATGAATCTGACCTTCATCAATATAAATTCTGGTAGAGATGACTGACAAAGCCATTATGAATTTCACCATCTTATCTCCTGTCTGTAGCACAGTCCATCAGTCATACACATCAATGACACTGGCTGCAGCACTGTAGGATTTGTCCTTAAAGCAGGCAACTGGATCCTGATCCCAAAGAACAGCCGCTACTGAGAA